AGTCGTCTGGCTAATACTCGAAATAACACCATTCCCAGACGATGTATTGGCATCGAAATCGCCACGTAATTTCCACAGCTACAAGAGAAACATAAGGAAATGTGGCAAAGCAACAATGCGGTAATGGAAACTATCATGACTATTCGGGCAGAGGAGGCCGGTCTGGATATGTTCCACAAAGTCTCCCTTTTCCTTTGATCGCAGTGAAAAAAGGTGGTGAAATTAAAATTGTCAGATACGAAGAACGAGATGTTGTGGCCTCTGGTATGGTCGCACGAGTGTGGATAAGAGGGTAAAGAGTAGATAGATAGGCCAGGACAGAAAGAGGAGTGATAGTGTAACCGTTTTCGACAGAACGTTTGTCGAGGGATTGACTTTACTTGTCACTTTTGACGAGTTCGTAGCTTGGTGTGGAGAATGGCAAGACTCACTGATGATGCTGGCGAATCGTTTGAGAATGTATCCAGTCCATTGTCTGATGCTGGGAATCATGACAACAACTATGGCAAACGACTTCGGACTAGGTGCGTTCTACTAAGTCACCCTGACAACAAGACGAAGTTGCGACAACGAGGTCAATCAACTTCTAAAATTGCCACATTAAAGATAAGATGTCAACTGATCATTTCGAGGCCTACAGAAGTGGCATTTGCAGATTATAAGAAGAACAAGAAGAACAAGTAGATCAAGAAATAGTTGAATAGAAAGCAGAAGATAATCAGAGGAAGAAGAGTAGACAGAAAAAGATGAAGAGTGAGAGGAAGAAGGCGGCAAAGACGAAGGAGCCGAAGATGATGAAGAAGAAGAAGAAGAAGAAGAAGAGGAAGAATTGAGAAGCTATCGACAGATTGCCCACCTGGGATCGTCGTCGAAGAGATCGTCAGCATCTTCGCTAAAAGACGTGTTTGCAGCATGTTTCCGCCGCGCATTGTTCGCCTCTACAACCATATCCGAGGCGATCTTCGGCGGTCGAGGCATGAGCTGCGCGAGATGGGCTTGGGGCAGCAGGCTGCTGACGCAAACAGCCGGTCAGAGTGAGCCACCGTTCGAGCCCTCGAAGCCCGGCCTCCGGAGACTGGGTCTGGCGTGGGTCTGAGACGGAAGCTGGGTCTGAAGCGCCGGCTAGTGACGCAGAAGAAGACGTCGCTCCTGCCAGGCGTAGGGCACAGATGATGGGCGGCGAGGGATCAATGAATAAAGACTATCCGAGAGCACAGACACCAGACACGAGGGAGGTTGGAGCAAAGGGAAAAGAGAAATCGTCTCGGCCAGTAAACAGATGGTGGCCTGATTGTCAAATTTATAAAAGAATTCTTAAATTATGAGTAACCTCAAGACGGATTGGCAGGTTTGTGCACATGAACGGTGAAGGGAGAGAGATTTGTGCGATTTTGTGGTTAAAGAGGCAGCTAAGACACCAGAAAGAACGCCGAGGACGGTGTTTACATGAGCGGATGGGAGAGAGAAAGACAGATAGAGCGACGAAGGACCGGCCGAATCGGAGCCAGGCTCAGAGAAGCATGTCAGTCGAAGAAAGAGGTACCAAGTGGCCAAGGAAATTTCGATTGGTGGAGAAAGGGACGAAGATGCTGCTGGGCGCGCCAACTGCGCGGACCAATCAGAAAGACAGAAGTGTACAGTTGGTAGCGGCTTTAGCCGAATTGCCGCTGCTCCGTTGTTTTGTCATAACAACAACAACAACAGCAACGAGAATAATAATAATAATAATAATAAAAATATGGCACGTGATCTCATCCAGCCTTCCAACTGACACTTCAAGCGAGAAAGTCACGACATTCCGGAACATCTTTTTGGCAGGCCAGCGACTGTTGTCGCCGTCTTTGGCACTCTGTAGAACCGATGAAGCTACTGAAAAGGGCAAGACTAAGCGCAATTTTCTATTTCACAACAATTCAACAGATGCCACTTGTCAATGATACGTTGTGGAAAGCAGACAATAATAATGCACAGTGTCTTCAAAGTCGTCCTGACAGCGAGGAGAGGATGCAGACAAAGGATCAAATAGACCCGACACAGCAACAGGAGATAGCGATTGAACATTCGGCGATACCATCTTCGTCTTTCTGTCCACAAGAGCATAGTTACAGTTAAGACCTTCGCCCTAACAACAGTTTAAAGGTGACATAAGATCAGTTAGCAAACAGAGGCAAAAGTGTGAAAGAAACGTGGAGGCCTCTCTCCGGCTCCTCCCTTTCCTATTGTCCTGCATGCATTAATCAGGAATAAGAGTTATATTTTTCGATTAAAAATCCGGATTTTAGACTACTACTAACTCATAAATATGAGATGCATTCACCCTATTTCGTACTTTTGTGACAATTTCCCACTTTGCTTATACACGAACAAGAAGTTATGTAAACTAATGCAATGACAAAATACAGATTTCTTCAGCGATAATCCCATCACAGAATGCGATTTGGGAAAATGCCTGCAATTCCTGTAAGTGGGCATCTGCTCTGCGATCCGAGGGCATTCGTGGCAGTGTGGTGTAGTAGTTAAAGTATGGAGATTACACGCTGTACTCTCATGGTTCGAGTCCCACTGACGGAACTGATAGGACCAGTCCAGGCAAAGTGGAAACTGCAGTCCACCTCAGTGTGGATGAGAACACCTTTTGGGAAAGCAAGGCTATGTGAAATTGAATAGACAAATGAGGCCTATCCTAGCATTGTGGGAAAATTCGACTACCGGTCCCCTCAGCATCATAAACGAAATTGGTCGAATATATCTCACCTTTAGGAGTTCTGGTTCTAGGTTCTAGGTAAAGAAGTTGGATTTTCCCAAATGAATATGTGTAGACATTGGGATGCCGATGTACTACACGTAGCGTCGTCTCCAAAAAGAATACTTTTAGGCAGGCCTAACTCTAGCTTCGACCTTTCCTGGGTTTCATCCGAACACCCAACGGAATCGAACCCGGCTAGTGCAGAGATTACCTTTGAAACCTTTCCAATAAACTGCACTACCGAAGAGTGCCAGTGTATCCCATGACATTAGGACATTCCACGGCAAACCAGACCTCATTATAATCCTACTACGCATTAGGCACATCGATATTTTGACATTATAATCGAAGATGTTACTTATATTTGTAGTAAGTAGGTTTCAAAACTACCAGAGATGTAGACAACCAAATACGATGAAGAAATAATAAGCGGGATAGACAAAGTATATACGTTAGGTAGGTCTATCAGTAAATCTTGAATAAGAGCTGAC